GGGGGGCTCGGGGGCGGCGCTTTTTTTTGCTGCTTGGGGCAGCAAAAAAGCTAGAGCCGGCCCTGGTGGTGGCAGATGACAGAACAAGGAGCAATGGTCTCAAGTTGCAGTGGGGTCTAAGTTGGATATTAGGAAAAACTTTTTCACTAGGAGGGTGGTGAAGCATTGGAATGGGTTCCCTAGGGAGGTGGTGGAATCTCCTTCCTTAGAGGTTTTCAAGGTCAGGTTTGACAAAGCCCTGGCTGGGATGATTTAGTTGGGGTTGGTCCTGCTTTGAGCAGGGGGTTGGACTAGACGACCTCCTGAGGTCTATATGATTCTGTGAACATGCACCGTGCCACGGCCCGTGCCAGGAGTTCACGAGAGCTGACGCCCTGTGCTCACTAGTCACCTTCCTGTGCTCTCCTGCTCACACGACTCCGCGTGGCCCCGAGCCAGTGCGTGCCGCCCTTACCCTGTAGCTCCAGCGAGTCGTCCTCGTGCTTCACTGCCAGCTCCCGCGTCTCCTCCAGCTCCTCCAGCAGCTGCAGCAGCTGGGCCCTCAGGTCTTCCATCTCCTGGTCCGTCAGGTCCAGCTCTTTCTCATCCTCTTCCACGGAGCCCACGTTCCCCACATCCTCCTCCTCTTCTTCCTCCGGGTCCGGGGCATCCACGTCACCTGGCAAGGAACGCTGCATGAGCCACCTGCTGCTGGCCTCCAGCCCCTCGAAATGCACTCGCTGCTTGTCCCCCGGGTCACGGCTTGCACCAGTGCCCTCTGCACCAGGGAGCCAGGCCACCCTCTGCCATGCCAGCCAGGTGCCTGGCCTCTGAGCCCTCGGCAGAGACAAACCTCTGAGCCGTTGCAGTGTGGAGGGGCAAAGGCCACCCTGGCCCAGCTGGAGAAGCAGCTTCCGCCCCGCCGCATGTGACCCACTGGCTCCACCTGATGGTAGCGGGCGGAACCGGGCCCACAGGCAGCCACACGGATGAAAAGGGGGGTGGCCCCCTCCTGAGGTCCATCCAGAGCTGACCCCAGTCCTGGGTGCCCCACCCAGCTCTGCCCCCCAGGTCCATCCTGCACCCTCCTACCCGCCGTTACTGCAGCCCTGGGCTGAGCCGACACCCAGAGCCGGGCTGGGCAGAGCCGGACAGTGGTAGCGAGGCTCTCATAGACACACGCAGCCCACCCCCCCAACAGAGCTCACCCTTCGAGATGCCCACCTGGCCTGGCAGCGGGGCCCACTGGGGGACACCGAGCTCCCCACACCTGTGGGCCAGGACACCCCTCTAGGGGCACGAAGCAAGTGTGCCGACCCCATGCGTTCAGGCAGCCTCCCCCGCACTGTCAATCAGACCTAGCCCGACAGGGGCACCGTGGGGGGGGCAGGCCTCTGGGCTGGTTCATTCAGCCTCTCGCCCCCCACTAGCCTCTTGGCTATTTTTAACACTGATCTATTTTTTGCACTGGGCCCCCGCTGTCAATTACGCTCCCGTTCCCATGACAACCGAGGGGCACCCAGAGACATCAGCTGCCAGAACCTGCAGGAATTTCACCTTTGCCACCTACTGGCTGGGCCCCTGGGGGCGGCTTGGACCCCCCCCCCCCGGAGTGTGCTCGGGGGAGGGGCAGGGGATTGGGATGCCCAACAAGTCGACGTTTCCCCCACCACCACCCTCCAGCTCTGCCGGCGCCCCTCACTCCCAACCCGCAGCCCCTCTGCTACCCCAGCCCCGGGCTCCCCCCGCCCCCAGCTCTGCCAATGCCCCTCACTCCTGACCCGCAGCCCCGGGCTCCCCCCAGCTCTGCCAATGCCCCTCACTCCCAACCCGCAGTCCCCTGCTACCCCAGCCCTCGGCTCTCCTTACACAGCTCTACCAATGCACCTCAGTCCTGATCTGCAGCCCCCCCCCCCCGCTATGCCCCTCTTGGCCAGGCCCTTCACCCCTTGAAATACAAAGCCAAGGGCTGCACAGGCTGCAAACTGCTGCCCTGTGCATGGAAGGGAGAGCGCGGCTGGAGCAGGGGAAGAGATGAGAGTGAATCGAGGGGGGGAGCTGGGGAGCTGACAGTGAAAGTCGCAGAAGGAGGGGAGATGAGGCAGGGGCACGCAGGGCCCAGCCTGGGCGACGAAGTGCCACCTGCCTGTGCCTGCAGACAGCTCGGAGCAATGGGCACCTCCACCAGCCCACTCCAGGGGCACTGACTCTGAAACCTACTGATGGCAGGTACCCAAGCAACTCGCGCTCAGGCCCAAGTGGGAGGGGCTTGCATCTTGGGCGGAGCTTGGGAGAGTCCATCCCCTCGTTCTTTTCCAAACTGACTCTTGGTGCAGAGCTGCTGCCCAGCAAGGGGGAAGTGATGGCAGCAAATCAGCCCGGGTCCGGCCCCACACAGCCCCTGCCCCAGTGGGAATGGGCAGCCCAGAAAGCCGTCAGCCCATGCTGACCCTAGCCAGGACGCTGCACTCAAAGGGCAACTCCCCCCCACACCCCCATCCGCTGCTGGGCTGTGACAGCACATCTGGGGTGTGAGCTCAGGGACTGCTCCCTGGCACCCCCAATCTGCCCTCCCAACACACACGTGCGCTGGGGCTCTGCCCCCAGCTCTGGGAGGGGAGTGGGGTCTGGTGGGTAGAGCAGGGGGCTGGGAGCCAGGACTCCTGGGTTCCAATCCTGTCACCGATGCTTTTCCCTGAGTTCGCAGGGGCAGGGGATTCGGAGGCTGAATGGCTATAATGCGCCTTCATGTGCTCAGATGCCAGGGCAGGACAGAGCACCATGGCGCCATCGCCTCTGCTCACAGACTGGGGGCCCGGCCTGTCCCCCCCACTCCAGAGGCCAGTGCAGGATCCTCCCCTACAGTCTATTTTCCAGGGCTCTAACCCCCTACTGGACAGGGGCCCCTCCATGCCCCACACACGGACCCATTCCAGCATCTCCTCTCCCTTCGGGTAGCCCTGGTCACTCTGGGGAGGGTGGAGGCTACAAGGAAGGGTGGAGGCTGCCGGGCTGGGACATTCGCCCCCCCCAGACCCAGAGACAGATCCTTGTCTGTGTCCACAAGTTAATTACATAACTGGGTTAGGTGCCATTCCCGGGGGTGGGGGGGGGAGGGAATGCAGCCAATGTGCGTTGAGCTCCCAGGGATGGAGGGGAGTCGCCCGGCACAGAGCCCGGCTGCAGGAGCCCCATCATACCCCCCCCCGCTGTAATCAAGGGGCACCCGGCCTCCATCCTGGGGAGTCTGGACTAGAACCTGAGTCCCTTTGCAGCAAACAGCTGGGCTGCTCCCACCAGAGCTAAAGGAGCGCTCCCTCGGCCAGTGCGAGCAGTGGGCCCTTATCCCCTCGCAGGACTACGTGCACAGATGTGCCCCCAGGGGAGCTGCACAGCCCTCCCCCAACACTGCCAAGCCCCTAAATGCCCATTCCCATGCCGGCAGGGCAGCCCCATCCAGACAGAGCGTCGTGCTAGGCCCCCTGGCCCCCAGTGCCAACCAGGCACCCCCAGGTCACCGCAGCCCGGCCCCCAATCCCAGCCAGACACCCCCCAGGTCACCGCAGCCCGGCGCCCGGTCCGAGCCAGACACCCCCCAGGTCACCGCAGCCCGGCGCCCGGTCCCAGCCAGACACCCCCCAGGTCACCGCAGCCCGGCCCCC